GAAGTTAGCTTTATGGCTGACAATTTGTATGAAATATTAGATGGCTACTGGAAACCGTGGTAGTTCCACTATTGCGACTCGGGTCTTTGTAAATAATGCACATCCATTATTTCTGAATCGTATTCTAAAAGGTCGGAGCAGATTGAATTAAAGGCTTGAATACGGCCGCAATCTTTTCAACGTGCACGACTATTCATAGAGAACTGCGTAAACAAGGCTTCGGGCTTTGCAAACATTGGACAAAACTGCAAACAGGAAAATACTCGTCTCTGTACCAAAATAGGTAATGGTATTTTTAGATTTTAGACCTAGTTTTCTTGTGATATTTATTTACAAATAAGTGAGATTAAGTTATTCAGCGGGCTATAGAGAAGGTTTTTTTTTATGGATGATAATGGAATGGTAACCCCACCCGCGCTAATGGTATACACCAGCGGGGCACCAGTGAAGGATGATAGGTGAGGACGAAGCAGGTTAGTTAGCCTATCGTGACGAATTCAACAAGAATTGTTCACGATGGCTTCCACGGGGCACCGCGTGGAGGTCGACCTGATAGGACATATTGCTAGCAATAGGGCTGTCAAACTCCATTGCTAACAATCCCTTTCCCCCTACAGACAGGGTTATGATCGGAGTCTTTTTGCGTGATAGAATCCGAAACGAGGATATCCGCAAAAGAACCAAAATAACCGACATAGCCCGAAGGATAAGCAAGCTGAAGTGGCTGGTTACATAGCTCGAAGAACCGACAACCGATGGGGAAGAAAGGTTTTTAAGGGGCGACCGCGTATGGCCAAACGCAGTATAGGATGACCCTCCACTAGATGGAGTGACGACCTGAAATGCATTGCAGGGAGTCAGTTGCTGCAGGTGGCTCAGGATCGACCTCAGGCTTATGTCTAGCAGTGGACGGCTGAAATTATGAGTGAGGTGAGATTAATTTATAAAAACCAAGCAGTCTAGAATATTATACACAAAAAAACTAAATACTACATTTTGCAAACAATATTTATTATGTTTTGTAAAATTTGTAAGTCTACATGATATGAAGGCAATTCAATGTTATAAATTAATTAAATTTTTACCAGAGGGAGACTGTACAAAAGACGTATGCTTGGGTACTTCAGTCCCATTCGTGTTTTTGTCGTAAAGCAGTTGTGTTTGCACACACCCACGTTTTGGTTTCAAGGGTGATATATGGCAATGAAATTACAAGGTACAGAGGCATAATATCTTAGGAATGGTAATGCATTAAGTATTATGAATGACACAGTATACTCTGTTATGCCCATGGTACTGTTCATGTCTATAGGCGACGGTTACCACTTTCCATCAGGTGGGCCGTCAGCTTGTTTGCCATTATAAGTTGTATAAAAGAAAAATAACCAAAATATACTGATTGACCGGAATAGAAATTACTGGCACGAATAATAATCCAATTACTATTATAAAAGCAAAAGATGGAAGAATCATCCATTCTTTGTTTGTTACTTTTACTCGCAAAATGAAATTATGCACACAGATAGGTTATATCCTAACTTAGAACAAAGGATACTTTATATTCTTTCAAGCGAAACCGCGAGATACAACTAGTAATAAATAAACGACCTTCTATTTGAAGTCAGCTAAAGCATTGTAAAATTTATTAATTTTACGTTTATTAAATAAAAAATCATTTTTCTAGAAAAGAGAAAAAATAAAAAGAATGATTTAGTATCGTTGCAAACATGAAGAGTGCTAGCTCATGATGCTCCGAAAATGATTTATATACCGGAAAGAGATACTTCTTTACCGTCTGTTTATTTTTATATTAATGTATTCTTGTGACGTCTATCTGGAATGTTGTTTTATTTATGAAGGTGTCAGTAATTGGCTATTCGGTAATGGTTGGCTATCCATATGTTTCTACAGTTAACTGTAGGTTACTTTTGTATCTGAAATACTTTAAAATATGTATATAAAAATATCTATAAATAATTAAATTCGTAACTTTATTCTTGAACTGTTTCATAAATTTGTTCAAAAAATTTTATTAAAATGCGATATGTACCTAATCAAAGGTCATCCGCCGGGGGGAAAGGGATTGTTAATAATGGGGTCAAATAGCTCCATTACTAGCAATATTCCCTGTCAGGTCGACTTCCACGTGGTTCCCCCTGGAAACCATCGTGGCTAATTCTAGTTGAATTCGTCAAGATGGGCTAACTGACCTGCTTTCATCCTCATTAGTCATCTATCACTGGTATGTACATCACAATTGTATACCGATAGCGCAGACGGGGTTACCATACCATTATCACCCATTAAAAAAAAGGCAACCACCGATAGTCCCCGCATAGAATAGGTCATCCTTTCCTTGAATGAATCTTGAATCCAATGTCGATATCGATCTATTGCCAATGTCAATATTATACAGCACTGATGAAATAACAATTAGGGATTATGTTAGGTGAGAATTGGAATCCGTTTACATTGATAAATTAGTCTAATATCTATCACTAGTCGACATAATGAGCAATATTGAAAATATGACATTTAATAATTTAATTCTATTTTAATGTTTATCAAACACAAGGCATGCTGTGATCGCCTATAAATGTAAGAACAGTTAGATCTAATCTACCAATGTATTGTATTGAAATGTTTCGCTGTATCTTATGTTGGTGATACAAAATAATGACAACACATGAGGGGTATCATGGGCGAAACAGTATACTCTGTTATGTCCATGGTACTGCTCATGTCTATAGGCGACGGTTAGCACTTTCCATCAGGTGGGCCGTCAGCTTGTTTGCCATTTTAAGTTGCATAAAAAAAAAAATCATATATATTTTGTAAATTATAACTTTGTTATTTCACCAGTTATTACATAACTGATTTCATAAAGTGAACCAGGAATAGCTGAAAATGCCAAACGTGGAAATTATTTCCACCATTCCCATATGGAGGTCTATATTTATTTATTGATTCATAGGAAAACCAGGGCTACACTAGAGCAAAAAGATACTGTTTAGGATCACAAAATAAGCCACTAATAGGTTTTCACAAGTAGCAACAATATAGATACAAGGCGCTGTACACAGAGAAACAAAAATAGGAGTTAACAAAAAAAAATATATATACGAACAAACAAGAGGAACGAAAACAAAAAAAAATGCAGATATTTGATTAAAATATGGCTTTCTTATCCATACAATAGTTATTCAAACTGACTATGAATAAAAACAGTAATTTAACAGTGGTTAATTAATAATGAAGAATCTAATTGGGTCAAACAGGGGGAAAGGGATTGTTAGCAATGGAGTTTAACAGCCTAATTGCTAGCAATATACCCTATCAGATCGACCTCCACGTAGTTCCACCTGGAAACCATCGTGAACAATTCTTGTTGAATTCGTCACGATTGGCTTACTGACCTGCTTCACCCTCACATATCATCTCTCACTGGTGCCCCGCCGGTGTATACCGGTAGCGCAGGCGGGATAACCATTTCATTATCACCTTTAAAAAAAAATTGGGCCGACCGAGAGTCAAACCTAAAAACTCTCTTTTTTTACAACACAGGGGGCAAACGAGCATGCGGCTCACCTGATGATGACTACCGCCGCCCATGATCACTCACGACACCAGCGGCATTGCAGGTGTGCTGCCGGCCTTTAATCTACCAACTGTCACTGCGTCACACAGACATCGGCGTAAAATAAAAACTTATAATAAAATAGTAATATTATTAGACAGATTTATTGTCATTAATTTATTACACCCACGACCCTATATAAATTATACATTCTTAATATATATTGAACTAATGGAACTAAAACGCCGTGACGAATAAATTTAAAATTATTAAATCTTTCCAAGTGTGAAAGAAATATATCGTACATTCGTATACGAAATAGGAGAACGGAAATTCTACAGACTAGCTTATTTCACGGATCATTTACATCGTCATCGGCAATGATGTAACTGTAAATGATCTGTAAAATATTATCAGAGAGATATATATTTTTTTATAACACAAGGGGTAAAGGGGTAAGTGATTACCGCCGCCCATTATCGCCCGCAGCACCAGAGGAATTGCAAGTGTGCTGCTGACCTTTTATTATATATTGTACAAAAGTTATTTGTATGGGTACGTCTGTCCCACTAGTGTTTCTGCTGTGAAGCAACTATATTTGCGTGCCTCTCCTACTTTAAATGGTGAAGTAAAGCTGTAAAATTCCAGGACACGGAGGTCTAAGGATTCTTTAGTCCTCAGAAATGGTAAACCAATAAGTATCCAATATATTAGTCCAATAGTGGGCTAATAGATTGTTCTAATTATAGTGCGTAGATTTAAATACATAATAAATTAACATAAAAGTTAGAAATGACAAATAATTAATTAAAATTACAAATATAAATAAAAAATAAAAAGGCTTTGAAAATAATGAAATGTGTCCAGTAATGTGTACTAATTTTGTTTGTTCATTTGTAATGAATAAACTCAAAAACTATTCAAGCAATTTAAAAAAATATTTCACCTATAAAAACTATATTATCAGCGAGTTACATACACTATATATTTAGTATTCAAAAATTCTACAAACCTGTGCCAAGTCGGGCTGGACCACTAGTGTCATATATCGTCATAGTCGTAGAATACTGACGGATCTGACAAATATTACATATAAAGATCCGTCAGTATTCTACGACTATGACGATATGAAAAAATATATATATATAATTAATACTTACATAAAATTAACAATGTTAAATAATAATATATTAATATAAATAATATACATTTTGTAGAAAATATTAATCAAGATAAAAGGTAAATTAATTACTTCACATTCTTTGATTCAATTACTTATTTAAACTTTCTTCGAACCCATTAACAAGTTATCCATTTGAAAATCTTTGTCTTCCCATCAACATTTCAATCCATTAACAATTGAGCATTTTCTCGCGCAAACGCAACAAACAACTCTATTATAAACATAAATTAGTGGCATTTAAAAGAGCAATGATTGCGATCGTACAAACTGCGATGCAACAAGTAACCGCCCGCCCTAGCGGTGGGCGGGGGAGCGGACGGCGGAACGAGATTCAGTACCGCCGCGACCATGTCCACGGACGGACGTACGAAGCGTTCGCAGTCGATATGCGCGCCCGCCTCCGCGAGTATGGAAGCTCTAGTGGCTCCGATGGAAACGACCCCGGCGCCTCGCAGGAGGCCGGCCGCTAGGTCGCAGTCCGCGAGGATCACCGGCGGACGCTCCGTCCGTCACAGGCGGCAGCAGCAGCAGCAACAGCTCGACAGAGAGACCAGAGCTAGGTACAGCTCGGAGCCACGGCTCGCCGAAGCCGAGACACCACCTCAAGTCCGTCGACAAGCGTCTGCTCGCCGTCGCCCTCCGCCCGGACAGCACAGCCAGCCGCGCCGCTCCAACGCGTTCCTCGACGTCCCCAGGAGCACCCACCAGCCGGAAGAGGAACCAGACGAGGACTCCTACCGGCTGCGCACCTTCAACATCACACAGAAAGGAGGTCAGTGCTAGCGGCCACGTTCATTCACCTCGCGACTAAATTTAAAAGTTTCAGTGTACAAGCTTTTTATATTTCGATTTCGGAACGGAAATTTGGCAGTCGGCCTGCTTCGCTCTCTCGTTCAGTATTCGTGTGTGAATGCCGAATTTTCACGGCACACGGAAGAGTTGGTGATGGGACGAGCAGTAACCGGGTTAGGTTAGGCGAACGTTTAAAACGCTAGCATGAATCACGAGGCATAAAATTTACGAGACCTCCATAAATCAATTGATGGACAAGAATATTTAAAAATAAACGTGTGTGAACACGTGTAAAACTGCTCCTCGTACGCAGGTGCCCTTACGCATTAAAAAATTATTTCCACCAATATTTCATAGAGGTAACGAAAAATATATGAGATGTTTCAACGGTAATACCGCTGTCATTATTTTTCAGAAAAAATAAGATTAATAGTGTCATAAAGTTAGTACCCACGGTCATGTGAGCTTCGGATATACGTTTTCCAATATACACAACGCGGCATTTATTTATCAAAATGGCGTCTTCAGTAAACAATGACTGTGGTGCCTGTTTAACATAATGCATATTGAATAGAATGAACAGAATCGTCGGCAGCGAAACTCGCCTGTCTTTGTTAGACAGCACACCCTTCATACAGCTCCACTTCGTACAATATCGATCGATTGTTATTTACTTATATAAAATGTGTTAACGATTTCAAATTCCTATGCACCATATGTATATATCACTCAGAAATATATATATATAATATTGAAGTAATAATTTTATAATTTTTTAATATAAAATTTTAATATATCTACAATCTGAAAGATAAAGATTTGGAAACAACTATCAACTTGTTTCATAGTTTGTATTTTAAACAATTATGCACTTGTAGTTTAAACTTATTGTCAAATTAAACCATCTTATTAGCTAATATGTTTTTGAAAAACAAATAATAACATTGTCATTTTATTATCACTATTTCAACCGTTAATCGATATTTTTTAAACCTTTACATCATTATAATCATCATCATCATCATCATATCAGCCGTTAACTGTCAAATGCTGAACATAGGCCTGCCCCTGTAAGGGAATCCCCAAGGATCCCATACACTGCCGTAAATAAAGGCTTCGTGCCACTTGACATGCCAATTTCATTATAAAGAATTTAAGTGCCAATAAAATCAATACATATAATAATATACACTTAGATTATATAGATAGAGCATCGAATCTCAAAAACGGGTTAACTTTTTGTCAGCCAATTGTCAAATTAGCTGACTCGTTTTTTTATCAGTGCTCCATATAATGTATCTTGACGTATCTACATTTAATTATTTATTAAATAAAATGAGTTTTTACGCATTAAAAAGATGCAAAAATTATAATACAAAATAAATATAGAAATTATAAAGGAAACATAGATAGATACTCTTTATTGTTTCCTCCAAAAGATTACAATAGTAAACTTATTAGAAATATAAACAAGAAATAATCACAATGAGAAAACATTGGGCGACCTTATAGCAAAGAGCGATCTCTTCCAGGCAACCTTTGGATGGAGAGGAGTAATTATAAACAATTTGGTGGGAGGCACGATGAAATAATTTATCACGCAAAATTGTATGAAAAAAATGACTAGCTTTTCTCGAAGCATTTGTATGGAGACACTCTATCTATATAATCTAAGAATACATAATACACAGTGCTAATATAATAGTATTGTTTTCTCTCTGTGACCCTTTCTTGTAATTGTTTGTATTTATAATAAGTTTACTATTGTAATCTTTTGGAGGAAACAAGAAATAGTATCTATCTATCTACTAATATGATACTTTCTATCAGAAAGAATGTCAGTCGATCGCTTGGGTACCTCTGTCCCATTCGTGTTTCTACCGTGAAGCAGTTGTGTTTGCATGGCTGTGTTTCGGTTTGAAGGATGGGATATGGCGTGCATTTACAGGGTACAGAGGAATAACACCTGAGTCCTCAGGAATGGCAACGCATGGGGGGTATCATGGGCGAAACAGTATGCTCTGTTATATCCATGGTATTGCTCATGTCTATAGGCGACGGTTACCACTTTCCATCAGGTGGGCCGTCAGCTTGTTTGCCATTCTAAGTTGTATAAAAAAAATCTAAATCGCATAAAAAAACAGTAAGTACTAATATTTATAAATATCAAACAATTAATTATGTACTTTACTTTAATCGGATTATTGTAAATATATTAATTTATAAATGTAGCAAGAAAAAAGTAAAAATAAATTCAATAATCTATGTTACTGTGTATACTTTGTTATAAAGAGGAAAGAACTAAAAAAATACTCAATCGATTTAAAAAATTCTTTCACCTATAGAAAGCTGCATTACCAGAGAGTAACATAGGCTATAAATTATTTTCGAATAATCGAAAACGAGCCGGATCACTAGTGTTATATAAATATTTTATATATAAATTAGCTATATACTAAATTCATAATTTAGTTCTAATGAAAGAAATAACTAGATATCCATATTTCATTGTCAGTAAAAACAAAAAATGGAAAATGAGATCAACGATCTGCAAAGAACGAAGTCAACGAACGTCGACGCGATGTCTAAATAAAAAACAAAAAAATAAATAAAAGTCTGTGATAGATTACCTGATAGGGAATGGCAATGTATCACGAATTAACACAGATAGACTACGAGTAGCAATGTATCACGAATAGATAGCTACATACATACTTGATATAACTACGAATCGCGCGAGGATGGCGTCCTTTGCTGTCATAATTTTCTAAGCCGCCTTTATGTATCTCTTATATATTATATAACTAATGATTTGCCCCAGTTTTGCATGGATAATATAGCAATATACAGTTTTAAAATTTATTCATTATAAACAAACTGTTTATATAGCTTGAAGAACTGACAACCGATGGGAAATAAAGGTCCTTGAGTAGCGACCCCGTACGGGCAAACGTAGTGTAGGACGACCCCCCACTAGATGGAGTGACGACCTCAAATGCATTGCATGCAGGGAGTCAGTGGATGTAGGTGGCTCAGAACCGTTCCTAATGGTTGTCTATGGGGGAAGCCTATGTCCAACAGTGGACGGATAATGGCTGAAATGATGATGATGATGATGAAATAATCAAATCTTTCCTGTTTAAAATATTAATATAGTAAAACATCTGACTGAATGGATTAATAAATGAAATTAAATGCACGAATGAATGATCAACTGATACAGACAAATGTTAACTGTACTCTGAATTGACGTATTTTTTTTAATAACTAGAAACTAAGAACAAGGAATTACATAGGAGTGATAAAATTGTCAATTCATAGCAGGCTAGTGTATAGAAAATGTTATACGGACGTATAACCCTACCAAATTCAGATACAACCTGCTTGCATACTTTCTACATAAACCGTGTCGAATATGTAATCTAGTAATGTAAAATTTGTCACTGACAAATAATTGTCATATTAAACATTTTCTATACACTAACCTATTATGAATTGAGAAAAATAACAACTAATGGTGTATCTTTCGTCCTGTTTTTTACTAATTATATTTGCATAAGAAGAAAGGAGGTAACCATATGATTTACAGTTTTTATTTTATCATTCTTTCTATGTAATTCCTTGTTCTTAGACTAGAAACGACAAGGTGACAGCCCATCTGATCGAAAGTGGTAACCGTCGCATATACACTATGTATGTATATATATATACACACATATATATACATATATATATATATATATATATATATATGTATATGTATATATATATATATGTATATGTATATATATATATATATATATGTATATGTATATATATATATATATATATATATATGTGTATATATAATAAATAGAATAGACAGGAGCACTACCACAGGTACCACTAACACACTCAATTCTCGTAGTCGTCATATTTCCTTCCTGAGGACTCTTTTTTTAAATGAGTGTTAATTATATGGCAACCCCGCCTGTGTTAACGATATCTTATCTTAAATTCGCATATGGGGTCAGCTAAGCCGTTGCACGTCGACTCATCGGGATCTTTTGTGTTTCACCCTGCTTTATACCATCATTTTATAGATCCTATGTATTACCTTAACGATATCCCGCAGTTTAAGATATCTGTAGTCCCCTGGCTCTGGATAAGCCATTCCCAGTAGACTCATACGCGTACTTGCCAACGAATCACAGTTCCACATCAAGTGTTCCATGGATTTCGATTTCTCCCCGCACAGTCTGCACTGTGTGTTCGAAGATAGACCCATTTTGTATAGTCATATTTCCTTCCTGAGGTCTTTTTTTTTTAATAAGTGATAATTATGTAGTAACCCCCGCTTGTGTTAACGGTATACACTGGCGGGGCACCAGTGATAGATGATAGGTCAGGATGAAAAGGCAGGTTTTTTTTAATGGGTGGTAATGGTATGGTAACCCCGTCTGCGCTATTGGTATACACTGGCGGGGTACCAGTGAGGGATGATAGATGAAGATGAAAGTAGGTCAGTTAGCCCATCCTGACGAATAAAACTAGAATTAGTCACGATGGTTTCCAGGGGGAACCACGTGGAGGTCGACCTGACAAGGTATATTGCTAGTAATAGGGCTATTTGACCCCATTACTTACAATCCCTTTCCCCCCTTGAAAAGGCAGGTTAGTTAGCCCATTGTTATGATACACCTGAAATTCACAGTCGTTGCCACGATTGGCAGGCTTTGGTGATGTTTTAAAAGGGGCTCTGCTGCCCATCCCTGCCTCCCCTTAGTCGTCTCTTATGACACCCACGAGAAAGGAAGGAGTGGCTTATTCTATGATGGGACAATATGACAATGAAATGCAATACAATACACAGTAGCAACAGATCAAAATAAATCCATTGAATATATATAAATTTTACAAAATAATAAATTAAATATATATTTAAATAAAGTAATTTAATTTATTCAATTAACTATGTGTACATACGTGATTGTTTTATTA